GGGTGTTGATAAGATAAGCGAGCCAATTGTAACAAATACAGAAGCTATAAATGGTTGAAAATGCGCTTAAATATATATACAACAAAATATTTAGAAGTTGATCCTCAAATAATTAAAAATATATAAATATATTGAAGTTAAAAAGAGAAAATTTCTTACAGAAGCACCCAAGAAGCAAAACAATGAATTTACGAGTTGACAATGATATTATTATAATTATTATTATGTTATATTTTGTTTTTTATGTATATACAAAATAAAAAAATTTTTTTTTGTACATTTAATTTGTATCGCATGATTTGATCATAAGTTTCAATTTAGTGGATCTCTTGATTTAACAGATAAATTTTCTGGAAAAAAATATCCGTTAAATCGAGACTCACTGTGTATAACAGGTAGCAAATTTTGAAAATTATATATGAAATGTTACAAAAATAGTGAGGTTTTAAACCCTTATAACATTTGCTAGTAAGTTTAAATAAAAAATCTGGCTGCAACAAATTATTCCCTGACTTCTAAATAATCATTTGGTGCAATTATTTTTTTTAAAATGATCACCCCTGAGGAGCAGATACCATTTTTGATAAGCCAATAATAATTGATGTTTTTACTGTTGCCTATCTTATATAACTCACCAAGCAAAGTGGCTTATTATCTCTAAGTAAAATAGAGTTGGTGAAAAACCCCCTTCAAGCTTGGTTCTATTTCTTGGAGCAGTCTTTGTATTTCATCAAAATTGTATATAGGACCTTATTTATTTGAACATTCTCTTTCATAAAAGATTTTGGTCATCATCTTGATGGTTCTAGTGAAATCAATCTTTTCATTTGCCTCTTCCTCTTCCTTATTTGTGGCTTTTACTTTCCTAGGTCCTCTTTTTAAAGGATTTTCTACATAATTCATATAACAAATGTTACATAAAACAACACCTTCTGTCCATGCTACTTTCACTAAGTTGTTGTTCTCAGCTTCTTTCCATTTACTGCCTTTCAGTTGATGAAATTTAGCTGATTCAGTAGTTTTACATTCTGAGCAATGTTTAATTTTTCTTCAAGTAAATTGTATTATAAAAGTTGTAACACCCCTGTAAAAGTATTTTAAACTGTATAAAAAAAATTGAAATTGATTGTGAAATCTTTCCTTATGCATGGTCTCTCCTGTTGATGACTGTGCATAAAAGTCAGTGTGCAGAATGTGTCATGCTAACCAAATTTCGTAATTATATTTCCAAATCTGCCTATAATTACCGAATTTGGTTGCACCACACATTCTGTGATTGATTGGTAAAATAGATCTTTTGGATTAATAGCTTTCATTCAGGATGCAATAGTTAATAGGTGGTTATTAACTATTAAGAACTTGGAGTTATTAAATGTAGGGTTAAAAATTCCCATCACTAATATCATTAATTATATGTAACTGGTGGCCTTTTTTCTTTATTAATGTTAATGTTAATGTTAATGCAAATTTAAATTAAAGTACTATTGATTCATAAAGTTTCCCGGTCATAGTTATAAATTTTCTTTTCCTTTTATGGAAAGTTATATTTATAAGAATATCATTTCTAGGATATCTAGGGATGTTAACTTTGCCCTAAGGACTAAGGTTTCTGGTCGAAATTACTTCTATTAGTAGCCGAAATTGCCCAAATACTTTGGGCAAAAATTATTTTTTTATAAGCCCAAACTACTTTTTGTTATTAGCCGAAATTGGGCGAAATTATTTTAAAGTTGTTTAAGTTAAAACAAGTTGATTCATATAGTTTTTTAATGTTCATGCTTATAGAAAATGTTGAGAAGCCCAAATTGCCCAAACTAGTTTGGGCTTTGAGAAAACAGTTTGGACCAGAAACCTTACTAAGGACCAGCAGACCAATGGTCCATCTTGGGATTGGATCAGTCTTTTTATTTAGCAGATGGACTGTGATCCTTCAGTCTTTTTATGATGGTTTAAAAGACCAGTATGGGCCATCAGTCCTTATACAAAATTGGACTAGACCAGTCTGGGACTAAGTATGTGGACATCTCTAAAAGAAGTGCAAATCTCTAAAATACTAAGAACCAAAAGCCATATATGAAAATTGCAAAAACAATTATATTTTTATACATAAACTAAGCAATAACATAATAGAGGGTTTTATTAATAAAAATTTTTTTTACAAGGGCTGGAAGGAACAAATGGTCTAAAACAAATAAAATAACATTTATTATATGGGTATTTACATATAGATATTTGTATTTATAATAAACAGTGCTGCATTGAATTAACAATATATTGCTATAAACAAATACTCTTTTGCAATTAGATCAAAAAAGGCTACACATTTGAAACAAGTTAGGTAGGGTATATTAAAAAAAAACAAAAATTTTTTTAATTAGACCCTATATATATTAAATATTGGCGGCTATTTAATGGTCTTAGGATTATGGTCCAGACTGAGGTCTGGGGTTGATGGTCCAAATATGACTAACCAGTTTTAGACTGGACTACACTGGACTGTTAGCATCCTTAAGAATACCACTGATACTGTGATTTAAGCATTTAAGGTTACTTGGTTTCATCAATGACTTTATTAGAGCTGCCAGATGCTATTTATTATAAGTCTCCCCTTATCAGCTTTAACTGATTTTTTTGATTTACACTTCCATATCAATAAAATTCCTAATTTGCATATTAATTTAAAAATCAATTTTTGTATATTATCTATAGAAAAGTTTATTTATTATTATTATCATTATTATTAGTATTATTATTATTATTATCAATATTATTATAATAATTCATTCATTATTGTTATTTAGTTTTTCATCAACAAGATGAAAAATATCTTCATGTATATGGTGTAACATATCATTAATTGACATATCAGTAAACACTATAATAATAATAATAATTCATATATTAATTAATTTTATCAAAATTTTATACAATAGCAATAGGTCATCATTTACCATCTACATTGATACAATTTCCACATTCTTTTTTAGGCTCATTATTCCAATAATCATGATTTGAAGGCAAAAATACATAGGAAATCTAATATAGCAACAAAAAAAAATCATATTATTAATATAAAAACTAAATAAAACTCACAATTCAACTTGATTAGTCACTTACTTTGTTATACCAATCAATTAATTCGCAATTATTTGAAATGGATGGAACATCAGTTAGCCCCGGGATTAATAACACACATAATAAGCTTTCTATAAAACCTAAAAATTTAAATTATCATTTTTATCAACATCTGTTAAATTATTATTATTTATCAATTGATCTATTGATTTATTTACCTTTTTCACTTAAGAAATTAGCTAAACTTTGACACCCTTTTCCTGAACCAATTATGATAATATTTTTAAATTGATATAGATTCATTCTTTAATAAAAAATAATAAAATAAGAATTGTTATTAGTAAAATTTTTATGAAATGATAAAATATTATAATCACCCACATAATATATTTATTCCATATATATAATAATAAATCTTTAAGTTCTTGAATTCCAGTTTCTGAATTCTATCAAGAAAAATTTATTAATAGTATTAAGCATTTTATTTTAAATTCAGATATCAAATATTTACTTACTATTGTTAATGAGGGTACATCAATATCTATTATCCCATAACCTTTTTTTTTTACAATGACATCAAAATACTGATATACAGTATTAATCTAATGGACATATTGATTAATTATGTAGATTTATTTATCAAAAAATTATAAAAATAATGATAAAACAGCAAAAAATACCATATGTGATCCATAAGCATTTAGTAAATTTGACATTGCAGTTGTGTCAGCTCTAGAGATATTATTTAAAAATAAATCATCAATAATAAAAAATGAAAATTCTTAAAAGTAAAACTCAGAATCCAAGAACTTACCTAAATTCAGGCCTTAAAATAAATTTAGAAAATAAAATTATAAGTAATTGTTAATTTATAAAAACAAAAATTATAAAAAAAAAATAAGACTTACATATCATGAACAAATAGAAATAAAACATCTTTTTTAAACAAGTTATAACTATAACAATAAACTTATTTATATTAGTATTAGAAATATATTCTGATTTAAATGCATTGAGGTATCCTGATTACCTGCAACAAACAGATTTTGAAAATTCCACATTTAATTTATTATCCAATATAAGAGGAAGACTCATCATTTCATATTTCTCTTCAAGATAATTTAATCGATTAGTTATTAAAATGTCTATTAAATAAACAAGTAATTTTAATTAATAAATGAATTAACAAATGAATCAATCAATTAATTGAAAATTACCCATCATTTCAACAATAAGCTTTCTAGGTAATTTTTCTGATGAGAATTAAATAATACAATTAGCAAGTAAACAAATTAAGTATCAAGATAGTATTTTTATGTAAAAACTACCTTCTGAAATGTTGACATATCGAGGGATTAGTGTTTTCCAATATTTTGATTGCGTGCGTATTATTTGATGAATGATTTCTATACATTCTTTTCTAGGTTTTAATTTTTCCAATTGGCCAGGTGGCTCACCAAGTAATACTTTTACACAAGCTAATGCACAATTAGATAGTGAATTCAAATTATAGCCACCCTAATGAATTTAATTATTGTATATTAATATTATAGAATATTTTAACAAATTATTTAAAATTTTAATCAAACTTTAAACCTCTAAAGCTAAAACTATCTTTCCATTTGCTAAAGACTTTAACATATGAGTCATGTGTGCAAATCCGTTTGGAGTTACAAAATTTTTTCCAATTGTATCACCTAAAAAGAAGGGAAATTTATTTAACACAAATGTGTATATATATATATAATATATTTCTTTCTTAATACCTTTAGCTGCATCAAATCCAGCAGAAACTAATACTATGTCAGGAGCAAACTCATAGGCTATTGGCATTACAACATTGTTAAATGCATATAAATATTCACTATCACCCATACCAGGGCAAGGCCATGGTATATTTATTGTTCTTTTTTTTAATCAATTAAAAGAATTATTGGTAATTTGCAAATTTTTTAAAGAATGCAATAATAAGATAGATTTTTTTATCAAACTTACTTTCCTAAAGCATTTTCTCCACCAACATACATATAATCTGCTTGCTTTTTATTAGGGTAAAAAGACCCATTTTGATAAAGATGTAAAGAACAATAAACTACATCTGGATCATTATAAAATATTTGCTGTGTTCCATTACCTAAAACCATTATTAGTAAACATTTAATATTTTTGACATAATGATATATTTAGAATGATTATTATAATAAATATACCATGATGAATATCCCTTTGTTAAAAATTTTGAAAAATATATAAATAAAATATATATAAATATAGTAGTTTTGATAGTTATTATATTATTGTTTTTATTAAAATTATTATGAAAATCCTTACCAATCCAGAATAAATATTTTTTTAATGTTGTGATATTTTTTTAAACACTTTGCTGCAATTGCCACATTATTAAAAAAGCAAAAGCCCATTGGCTCACTTATTCCAGCATGATGTCCAGGAGGCCTTACATTTGCAAAGCCATTTGAAACATCTCCAGAAACAACTGCTTTACACAATTCAATTACTCCACCAGCTGAAAGACTAGAGCATAAGGCTGTGTCATTATTAATATAAATTGAATTATATTCATTTGATAACTTTAATAGATTGTAATTATTTAATTCTTTAAATAAATATATATATATATAATATATTAGTTAACTTAATTTGATCATCTAAATGGTAGCATATAATAGTATTTTAATACTAACCTGAAGTCTTCTTTATCAAACTCCAATGCTCATCAGTATGTGCAAGGCAAATTTCTTGTTTTGTAGCCTCTCTTGCATTAATATGCTTCATTTTTTTATAACAGCCAGCTTTTTCTAAAGTGTTTTTTATTGTAGTAATTCTATTAGGATCTTCTGGATGATGGTGTTTATCAAAATTATTTGAGTGGAAGCGCATACGCTTATCATAAACAAAGCCTGTAATATTTTCTTTAAATAGCTCAACTTCTTGAAAATCTGAATCACACCCAATGCCACTACCATTGCTAATAACTTCCATTCTTGGTTTTTTATTTTTGTTTCCACGAGTTTCCTTTATCACTGGAAGTTTACCAGTTTCAATGAGAACATAAGGTTGACAGTATGTTTCCCTAATTTCTATATTTTCCATTTTTAAATAAAAAAATAGTGATAAAGTAATAACAAAAAAAAATTAATTAAAATTAAGTGTAACTGGAAAAAAAATTTATTACATAATAAATAATTAAGAGTATATACAATGCAAATCAATAATAATACTTTGGAAATGCTATATTTGGAAAAAATAAAAACAAAAAAAAAAACCAACAGAAATAATTTATCTGTCAAATTAATATTGGAAATCCCATTCTAGTAAATTTTGAAGGATATATTACTACAAACCTTCCATAATTCCATAATTATTTCCACTGGCCCTGTAATATTATTAAAAGGATCTACGAAAATAGCACTTAATTTAGCAGACTCTTCTAATGCTGTATATACTACACGTGCACGTACAACATTACACATGACCCGTAGACGATTTGGTTTAGGGCTAACCAATTAAACCAGCAGCGAGGTGCGTCAGTTAATTTGACATAAAATAATTCGTGGTGTTGCAAGGTTCAGATCCAGATAATTTCAAAACATATTAACAATTTGGTTTTTTTGGGACATAAAAAATCGCTAAAGCCACCCAAATTTAATAGTCAGGTATAAGAATAGTTGACAAAATACTTTGCATGGTGGGGAATCATTTTGTTAATTTCATCACATTTGACAAAATTGAAGTTGACCAATTAAACTGACCAAATATTCGTGATCAATGGATCAAAGATATGGCTAAATATTGATTTTATATATATCAGTATAGTGATGTCACCAAAAAATGGTTTAGATTTGGAACCCTTTGGTCTTATCATCATGATAAAAAAGAATTGAGAATAATCATCATGATAAATACCTAACGTTACTCTACAGATTGAATTGCTATATAAAATGCCATGTATAACACAATTAATAAACCTTATGTTCTCAAAAAGTGTAATTTGAGCATATGTGCCAATTTTGTTTGAACCTCAAAATTCAGTATGGTATAATCATAACATTTTGAATACCTTTACTAGCAATAATCCATTGGTTTTGAGGTAGTGCCATTTAGTGTTCCATGTTGCAACCCAAAAAAGGAAACAAAATGGTCGTAAAGGCGGTAGCAACCATCATCAAAAGTTGCAGCCAGTATCCTTAGTGCCATTGGTCTGATGGGCTATTGAATAGTAAAATAGTTTTTTTTAGCAGAGCAAATAATTTTTTTAGGGTTAATTATCATTCTATTGGCCAGTTACACATGATAAGATATACATGTAAGCTCATTAAATCAGATGCAACAATCAATTATTTAAAATAAATAAATGACTGACCTATTCAGTTTAAGGTTTGAAAGAAGGGCCCAAAAAACCAAATCAGCTGATATGGTAATTATATGTGACCAGCAATTTTCCCATCACTATCCTTATCCAAATTTGATGCATGATGTTAATATATTGGCTGAAATGTTTGTACTATATAAAAACAAACAATATAAACATATCAGGCTTTATCTGTGATTGATTAATCCATAAAGAAATTGATTGGATAATTTTGTAATATGCCAATTATACATGAAGACAAAACTATTTCAACCATTTGCAGATCTGGTCAAAATAGGGTTGAAATAAGATTGAAACTGATTTTTACTATATATGTAGTTACTTCAAGTCAAAACATTTCGACTTTGGAGTTTTAATTTTCAACTTCATGTATAATGTCAATCATTATTTAAAACTTTTTAATATTGTTTTCAAGACAATAAAATAAATAGATTCTTAGCAATATTTTTATTTGTAATTGATTCAGTGAAAACACTAGGGTGAAAACTCTTGCTATAATTACAATGTAATAAAGTACACCTATGGTTTGAGACAGCATATCCTATATCAATAATATGTTGAAAACCAATAAATGATTCTTATCTAATGAATGAAAGATATTGAATATTAGATATTATAATTATTAAATAAATTTGTTCATGCATTCTCACCATAGGCCTATAACACCATTATAACCAACTCATGTCTTCTTTTGGTTCAGTAATCCTTTACATGACATGATTTAGAACTATGAAATAATGCAAGAATTATGATTAACATTTATAAATGTACCTACAAAAGAATAATTTAATAAATGTTTTACTTATTCAAATTACTAACCAGATTATTAAACAGAACTTGGGCTTTCTATTATTATTATTTATGGTTCCTAACAGTTGTTAAATGATTTAATTTAAGTTTATTATTTCAGTGAACATATTATTTACCAAATGCAAAAAAGACTTCTACAGTTAACACCTGAATTACTTCACCTTTTACTGAATTACTTTTGCAATCTATAAAATAGAAGGCAGGGAATTAGAATATATTGTTGATATTGTTGTACAATTGATTTTGATGGCATACAATTGAGTTAAAGTCAAATGAAGGGCCAGTCTGTATATAAAACATATGTGGTGCAACTATTGCCAATCATCTCCTAAATCCACTGTTATCAATATATGTATAGGAATCAAGCATGGTGGAATTTCTCTTTATCACATTTATCACTTTGTGACGATCTCAAATTTATGTTGTGTGACTATATAATT